AGTGGCTTAAGGCCTAGTTTTTCAGATAATACTCCAGAATGTTATATTAAGTTAGCATACAGATGCACAGATGCTGACCCTGAAAAAAGACCAACAGCAAGTGAAATTTTAAAAATTATTACCTTTTGGAAAGATGCCATTGAATCAAATTGGTTTAATTATTCTAAAGATTCTAAAGAACAACTTGATGAATTAGAAAAGACGAGAAAAATATTTGAGGAAGCAGATAAAAAACCCTTTAATCCTTCAACAATTACAACAACTATTCATCCAAATGCTGTAGATTATTGAATTTTACAAATCTTCCTCAACCTGTAAACTCCAATAAAGTTACAATTATTAGCAACAATTATGGTAATTATCAATTATTTGATTATTAATCTTAAATTATATCAGCATTAATATTATTTTTAAATAATAGAATCCAATCAAATTGATTTGTCATTATTTATTATTAATTTTAAAATAATTAAATATCAATTTCAATATTAATATTATTTATTATGTTATAAATTATTATATTTATAGATTCTCATCAAATGGATTTAGATATTTAGATTTATAAATTTTCTTCATATGATTGTTGGAATTTTACATTTGGTTAATTGTTAACACCTTGTACTTTGCCAAACAACTTTAACACATTACATTTACGTTCAAATACTTGAACCCTTCAAACAAAAACTTTTACACTCAACAAAAACTTAAAACTAATCCTTTGCTTCTTCACTAAGAAAATAACCTTTACCACTTGTTGTTAACACTACACTGGTTAATCAACACTAATACTAAACCTCCGAGTTCAATACCACTCTGATAACTAAAGTAAAAAACAATTGTCTTAATTATATTTGTTATACTGGTATAAATCAAAGGACTCTCTGGTAAGCCATGATTTTTTTTTTGTTTGATCATCACGATCAACTTTTTTTTCTGTGACGTCACACATGTACCGCCCGTGATATGTATATAATAATGCCTTAGTTCTTACGTGTCGTGAAATAAACAACAAACAATCTCTCTATTTTAATGAAATGGAATCTCCTAAAACCTCCATTTTAAAATACCCTGGTAAAATTTTATTCAATCCTTTTGTTGTATTTAAAGACGTAACGTGTTTTTCATACAGTTTTTATTCCTCAGATTATTGGAATCGCCCATATAATACTTGGACTTTCACCACATGGGATGAGTTTTTTAAAGAAAAAGTTCCCCATTCAAGTTTGCACGATTCACACTTCTGTTTATCAAAGGAACTCGAAATATTAGATGGAAAATTTGGACCTATACAAAACAAGGAAAGAAAATTGCTAGTCTCCTCAGGGCTCTAAAGGTCAGTACTTTCGCGCTTCAACTTCTTCTATGTGTGCTACGCTTCTGTGCTGCGTGCACAGGGGAAGAAGAGCGTCAGGACATAGAGCTTCCACGACGTGCATATATGGTAGTTGAGCTGCTACACCTCTGTGCTGCGTGCACAGGGGAAGAAGAGCGCCAGGACATAGAGCTTCCACGCGTGCAGTTAGAGAAAGTCCTGACTTGGCATTTTTGCTAACTTTTTTTTCTCAAATTAATAGAAAGGTCAAGTAAATCTCGGAAAAACAAATCTGGATGATGATAGCATATGTGAAGTAGAGGAATTGTACGTCAACATTGGTGGATTTCCTGCATTACTCAAGTACTGCCAGAGTCTCAAAGAAATGCAAGAAAATCACATTGATGAGGTTTCTCAGTTGGGTAGACATATTTCTATACTTTTAAAATGGTCTATTATAGACAGCAAGCTTTTTGAGATACCTGTAACTCCACCGACTATTCCGAGACCTGCTCTCCACATTCATAACCTCAAAGTAATACTTGAAGAATATCCTGACCTACAAGCTGACAATATTCTGGATGCATTGATTGAAAATAAAAAAATTGGAATAGTCCGAACAAAAGGGTAGTTGGAATGGCTTGGCCTAAAAAAACCAAATCATGATGATTACTTTTATTCCATAGATACTCATACAACACTGTCAGCAATCATGTCAGTACTCCTTTATAACTCAGTTCAATGTCGAGGGCTTGGTAGATACCCATCAGAAGCTCATGTAAAGATTCAGATGTGGTCAAAAATCTTATCAGATTTGTTTGTTTTGAATCAAATTTGATTCGAACCAATCTGGGAGCTTCACCACCTTTTTCCTGGAAATGCTAAGGAAGGTTCATCTAGGGTTTGTATTCACGGATACCATAAGGAGGTCACACACTGTTAAAATCAAGTGTTTTTAAAGGATTTTTTGCTGATTTATTAGTGTGTAACCCCCTTAATGGTATTCATGGTATCCGTGAATACAAACCCTAGGTTCATCAAGATCTGATTTTGCTGCTGTGATTTTGAACTCGAAGCAATGGCAATTCCCTTTTTTCATTGTTGAATTTGAACAGCATGGTTTTGAGGTTCACAAGGATTTTGCAGTTGTTGTTTGTGAGGC